TCAGTCTGAGCCTGACTTCTGGAATCAGGCTGAACATGCTGGGTGTGTTCACTGCAGGGAGCTCTGCTGTGGTAATTACAGGTTCTGGAAACCAGAGTGACCTGAACTTTACTGAGGGAGGTAACCTATTTGGAGATAAAGTCCAAATATGGTCAAGAATGAAAGCAAAAGTTTGAAGCCAGAAAGTCAGTTCTTAGCCTCAGAATGGGAGGTTATGTAAGGCCCCAAAAGGGCAATCAATCATGAAATTCAAAGCCAAAATCAACAGGTTGAGAGACATGGTACAATTTGTGTTAAGGCAAGAGGCTTAGAATTAATGTCCTGAGGTTGATAGAGGTCTGTCTTTATGTGAAAACAGCTCTGCAGCAAAGACACAAGCCTGATAGCCTAACAGAATCTGACTCTCCCCTGCTTTGGCTTTGAATGATAGAACACCATGACTCAATAAGGGGCATGACCTCAGAGAGGGTAGAGCAGGCTCCCAATAAGAGTAAGCATAGTAAGGATGCATGGTGCAGTTCTAGAAAGAAAAGAGCCAATTGAGTTCATCACTTGAATTATTTCCTTTGGTGGGAAATGTATTTTATTTCTATGTAATATTATAAAATATATTTTAGAAACACGCTGTATTATAAACTTCAAGCTCACCTCCAAAGATACAGGAGAACAAAAAAAAACGTGCGTGCAGTTAGTAAAAGTGATCTAATTAGCATTCTTATAGAATGAGCTGTAGATTTACTGGAGTCTTACGAAAGGGAAAAATACCAGAGCACCAGACTAGCACATCAATCATTTGAGATTGTCTGACAGTCTTGAAGAGGATATCCTGGCTGCAGAAAGCACACTGCTGTCTTAAGGCTAGGGGCCCAGGTCAGAGCATAGTAAGAACAAAAGATGAGCAGTTTTGAAAGGAACCAGCTGGCTTAAGGTGATCCAGAGTGCACAGATGTGAAAACCTTAGTGTTCCAGCAATACAGTTACCCAAAACAAGAATAACAGAATAACCACTACGAAATTATAAAACTCGATTTAGCTTGTTGACCCTTGAGGTCTGAGTATTTATGTCATGCTAAGTTTTTCCTACTTTAATGTAATTTTATTTTGTGTCTTCTGGTTGGTGGCTATAAAAAAAACAAAATTTCTTATAAAAGTTGAAAACTAAATTGTAACTGATCTTTGTTGGAAATATGTATAGAATTCTGTCTATGTGAGATCTGAACGATCTTTCGTGCTTTTTAAATGGTCTAAGCACAATAACCGATACTTTATAATTTCCTGTATAATTATCTCAAACTTCCTCAAACTTAATACAGGTGGTTTTGTGGCAAGTCAAGAGATGGTAGATCTCAAGTCAATTATGAACTTCCTAAAGTGGTAATTGAATGTAAAACAGAATAATCTAAAACTGAAAACCAAAGTGGTTTGAATCACAGGAATAATCAGGAACTAAAAGCATACGAGATTTGGAAAATGTTAATTTTATTGTTACACAGTGTCTGTGGGTACGTGGTTAAAGTCATGAAAAATAGCTCAACATTCTTTAAGACCTTAGTCATTGTTTTCCATTTAATGATGTTGAACATTTCGTGAGTGTAAGGGGTGTTATTAATAATTATTTGGAGGCAAAACACACCCTAGAAAAGAGTTACTGTGTGCCCTTTAAAGATACTTAAAATGAAGCATCATCTATAGTAGAACTAACAGCATACTACCTGACTTGGACAACAAGTTTACTTACTCCACAGACATTATCAAACACTTCAAACCTTTATGGATGTCTCAGTAGTGTTAATGAGTACAGGAGTTGGTTATGTAAAAATTCCCATGTTGTATTCACCAGGCCGTACAAGGAGATTTCCCCATTTGCTCTCATATGAAGATGTGAAAACAATAATATTAAAAGTGTCCCTCTGTGACTAGTTGTCTTTATTTTCAATTCTAGGATAGAACAGCATAAAATAAGCAGAATTACAAATTTGATTATCAAACTCTGTAAGTATATCACGTTCGTTTGTTATTTGTATTCAGAGAATGTGAGGGTGAGACTGTAATTTAGCTGTAGCTTGCTGGGGTTTTTTTTTTTTTTTTTTAACCATCAAAATAGCTTCATAGAGATGAGCTTTGAAGAATGGCTTAAACATACTGTTTTTTCTTTCTTCTCAGGTTAGTGTCACTTCAAAAATAAAAATAAAAATAGGCGCTCTTACTGGAACATCAGGAGTAACGCTAGGTATAAATAGGATTAGAATATACTTAACTGTGGTAATCCTTTCTGACACACATAGAGATGAATTGATAACCGGATTTGGCATTTCAAATATTTTTTACCCAAGGCAAAGGCTTTAGGGTGTTTTCTCGGAATTAGAGAGTTTAGAGATGAAAAAGGTGCCATTTATTATTTTCTCTTTCTGTCAGCTTAGGACTTCTCTTTGCAATCATGTTTATAATACTGGGCCTGTCTGTTCTTAAATGTTTCACCTGTTGAAGGATGTTCCATCAGAGGATGTGCTAAAATTTTAGATCATGTGTACCAGAGGTTCTGACCGAATAATATTCTGATAAAATCAAGTAACGTAATGTATTGGAAAGGAACTTGGGCTTAGAATCAGCAGTAGTAAGTTCTAGTCAGGAATCTGTAATATAATTTGTACATGATGTTGAGCAAATCACTTAGTGTCTCTCAATTTTCTATTTCCTTATGTGAGATGTGAAAGGTTTGGGCTAGCCTGTGTGATTCAATTTGTTAGATAATCAGATAAATATATCATTTAATCAGATTAACCACATCAGTGTATCAGTTCAGCCAAAATATTTGTCATTTATATAAGAAAGACTATAATAAATCAGAAAACTAGATTTTTATATCTGAGAACCTCAGTTTTTGTTTTCTTAACATTAGTACTACTTTGCCAAGTAATGGCAACTTAAAAGATCTTTCTCTCAAACCTGGCAGTATTATACCATTTTTGCCACAATATTATTTTCAGGAATATAATCACAGCTTGCCTATTACCAGGGCCTTAGAGCATAAACAAAAAAAAAAAAATGACTAACTTTTACAATCCTACTTTATCCTAGGACTCAATAAAGAAAATTAGTATGCTTCTTTAAAAAAAGGGGAAAAAAGGATGACTCATATTCCCATTCCTCCAAAATATGGAATATTCAAATGAAGAGTAAATAGACACTAACCTCTCCTCCTTTTTTTTTTTTTTTAACTTCAGAGCTTACTGATTTGAATAATTTTCTCTTCAAAACTGGTAGAATATTTTACTTTATCATCAGGTTATTTTTTATTGCAAAGCTGCAACCTGAACCGTATACTTATACTGAAAAATGCATAGGATTTGGAGTCAGGAGATCTAGCGTCAAGAATCTGTTCTGTTATCTCCTATATATATAATTTGAGTGATTTCTTTTACACCTGTGAATCTTGGTTTATTATTCTTATTATTAGAAAGTATTATTAAGTTCAAATATTAAAGATGGAAGCAAGGAAGAGGAGTGGAACTAATACTTCTGGAGCACCCTGCCACAGCATCATGATGGAAAAGTCAGGGAGTGCTTTATTTTCTAACTCCAGTGTAATGTACTTTCTAACTGCTGTGTAAGAGACAACGCACCGCCACATTATCACCTGTGTAAGAGAAGGAAACTCAACCTTTTGGGGTTCTTCAAGAACAAGGAAGAGTTGCCCCAATATGGAGAAACTCTAGTTTTTCTTTACCACTTCCTTTCCGCACCATTTCTCCAAATTTTATTTTTTAATATATAAACCATTGTAAGTTTATAGTTTACAAGTGTAATCAATGTGGTTCCACACAAATCTGCAAACTGATTTATATATCAGAAGACTATATTCAAGTCTGAATCCCGGTGAATATTTATCTGAAATGCCATGAGAAAAAAAGAAAAAAGAAAAATCATCTTCATTGTGAATTTGAGATAATTACTTTCAAAAATCACTGCAGCCCCAATCCAAGAAGGGGCCACAAGGTTTAATTGTGGGTGTGCTATTTACAGATTAATTAGGACATTTAACTTCATTTTTTATACCACAGAATTAATCCCATAAAAATTAGTGATCTCGAAGGAGTCAGTTGTCAACTCTGACAGGATCTCTTTGCCATAATCTATTAAAATGCTGCTTTTATCTTGTCTTGCCTGTGTCATATTTTATGGATTTTTTCATAAACACTGCCTATACTTCATAAATGTCTCAATTTTCTAGTCTATTAACATTACTTCAAAAGCAATTGATAAAAGAGTAGGGCATGCATGAAATAATACACCAATAATGTGAAGTGCTGGAGGCAAGAACAGTGAGTAGGATCTGCACAGCTTGTGAGCTGAAACAATGAAAGGATGTTTTATCTACTACAATAAAGAAACAAATGATCATTTTTGATAGTAGAAAAAAGATTGCTAGTAATTGGGCAGATGAAAAATGGGTTATACAGAAAATACAGCATAGTTTAAAAATGATAACTGAAATGAGAAAATAAATGTCCCCAAGTATATATTTACATTAGTGGAAACCTTTTCCCTTTTGTTACCAAAGATTTGGTATTCAGTTTGATTTGTCTTAGTTCTAGATATGATAGTCTTATTCTATATATAAATATTTTATTTGTATGCATATATTTGTACCAAACCTATATATGTATTTTATGTGCTGACTACAATAAATGTGGGAATTTGTTTTTTTAATCTTTTTAATTATTATTATTATTATTTTGAGATGGAGTCTTGCTCTGCCCCCCAGGCTAGCGTGCGGTGGCACTGTCTCAGCTCAGTGCAAACTCCACCTCCCAGGTTCAAGCAGTTATCCTGCCTCAACCTCCCAAGTAACTGGGATTACAGGCACATACCACCACACCCAGCTAATTTTTTATATTTTTGGTAGAGTTAGGGTTTCACCATGTTAGCCAGGCTGGTCTCAAACTCCTGACCTCAAGTGATCCACCCACCTTGGCCTCCCAAAGTGCTGGGATTACAGGCATTAGCCACCATGCCTGGCCTAATTTTTTTATTCTAGTTTTTGAAGTTAATTTTTCTTTTGATGTATAGATGATATATCTATAGCATCCTCTTTAGATTTCTTAAGCCCTAATATAAGACCTAATATAATAAAATAAGAATCTCTGTTTGGATTTGTACCACAAATTTAATTGAATAAACTGACTTTTCAAAACTGATTTGGTAATTATGTATTTAAATCAACTAAATGAAAAGCAAAGAGGAGAAAAGTTACTAAGCAAGTTGCAGAATTTCTGATTTTTCTTTCATTTTATTCTTCATATTTTACCACCTGACTTAGCTAAATGAAGCCAGATATTGTCTGAGCTTTCATTCTTAAGGCATCATGTTATAAACAGAGTGACCTTAGACCTCAGTATGTCTGCACAGTCCTGGTGTTATCCTGTAATTATCAATAGCTCCTTCTGTCACTCATAAGTGTCCTGGCTTGGATAACAAAGTCACGTTTACCTATTAAATATGTGATCAAATGAATATTAGAAGAAATGTTTGAGTAATACATACGGTTTTTAATTTCTCTAAACCTACATAGTACTACCTAAAATAATTGTGATTTAGTGTTGAGAAAGGTCTTTGGTTCTTGATTTATATAATTCCTTTTTTAAACTTGGAAATGAGACCATTTTCTTGTTGCTCAGATGAAGAAATAATCTCGAATAACTGGTGTGATCATTCAATTCTAATAGCTTGAAAAGAAGATGATTTTTCTCATGCCTTGATAGATGGTGATAGAATATATTGCTAAATTGTCCTAGTGGCACTCTATAAAACAGGTAATGTCATGGAGTAAAGTACAGGACTCAGCATAATGATGATGCCATGTGTGCCTGTAAGCTTACAGGGACACAGAAGATCATGATCAAGGGGGATTCTTTAGTTCTCAAGTGTTGCAAAGAATATTTGAAACTCCCAGTCCTTGGCACATAACTTACAGAAACAGTCAACAAAATTATGTGGGAAATATCCAGACTTGCCATATGGGGTGAAAGATAATACCCAACATAATAGTTTATTAACTTGGCTTAATTCCCACTTCTCTCCCATTTGTCTTTTCCCATGTCAGGAAACAGCATAAAAATAAGCCCAGTTGCTCAGGCCAAAAATCTAGACATGTTTCATGTTCTCGTTTGCCCATTACATCCATAAACAAATGCTGCTACTTTAGTCCCGAAACCATTCGGAATCTACCTACTGCTTTTCATCTCCATTCTTACAATCATAACCCGAGCTACCTTCATTCTTCTCTATGGTTTTACAATTGCCATGTTACCTGCTCTGCCCTGCTTCTGCCCTGGCTGCCTCCTCCATGATTTATTCTCAGTGTAGCACTCAAAATGATCTTTTAAGTATGTAAATCTGATTACACAATTCAATAGCTTCCATTACATTTAAAACAAAACCCAAGCTTCTCACTGTGGCCTGTGAGTACTACATGATTATACCCTTGTCTGCCCCATCTCCTACCATTTTTTCATTTTTCACTGTGCTCCATCTCCCATTTTTGTTCATTCAGCATGCCAGGCTTGTTCTCGCTTGCTGTTGTCCCTGCATGGGTGGCCTAGGACAAATGATTTTCTTCCCAAATATTTGTGAAATCCATTCACTTCTCACCACTTCTGTGCTCACAGTCCTAGTACAAGCTCCCATCGTCACTCACCCAAACTTCCCTGCCTCACTCACCCACAACTTCCTAACTGGTCTCTGCGTGTTAAATCGGCTATCCAACCAGAGTGGTATTTTGGTAAGTGCATGTTTGATTGTGTTGAGCCCTAGAACTATATTCTAGGAGCTGAACATACTGCCCTGGCCTGATAGAGTTTATATTTTATTGGAGAAGCAGATGCCAAGCACACACAAAAAAGAATAATTTCAGATTCTGCTAAATACTATGAAGAAAATAAGTCGAGACTCAGTGATAGAGAATAATTGAGGCGAGATCCATTTTTAGATTAGGGAGTCAGGGAAGTCTTTCCCCAAGGTGTATCTATGTGAAGAGCTGGGGAGAGGCAGGAAGGAGTTAGGATTGGGGAAACATAGTGAGTGAGAAAGAGCATGTTAGAGATGGGGCGCGCTCTCCCCGCAGCCCGCACTCCCTGACCCCGTGCCGCCGAGCGCCCCGCGGACTCAGCGGTGGGTGGCGCCGCCTTGGGCTCCTGCCTCCCCGGCTCCACGCTGCCACCACCTCGGCCCATGGGCAGAGTCGGCAGGCGGGCAGGCATTAAACTGAAGAAAAGATGTCCCTGTACAATGACTGGGGAGAGGAAACCAGTGACTCAAAAACAGAAGGCAGGTCCAAAAAACCCAAACTTCTGCAGTCAGCTTCAGGTGAAGAAGGCAGCTCTCACTCAAAGGCCAAAGGACGAAACAAAGTACAGTTCTTGCCCCAGTCATTGACCTAAAACGAGGTGGCTCCTCAGATGACCGGCAAATTGTGGACACGCCACCGCATGTACCAGCTGCGCCGAAGGATCTTGTTCCCACTGGGTTTTCTGCAGGGGAAGTTCTGATTCCCTTAGCTGACGAATATGATCCCATGTTTCCCAACGATTGTGAGAAAGTAGTGAAACGCCAGAGAGGAATGACAAAGACAGCGGGAGCTGGAAAGACAAAAGGAAATAGAAGAAAGAGAAAAAAGGCATAAACACAGACATGATGCAAGTGAGTTTTCAAGGAGATCAGATCCAGATTGTGATGAGGATGAAGATTAGGAGCGAGAGAGGAGGAAAACAATTATGGGCGGAGCTGCCATTGCCCCACCCACTACTCTGGTAGAAAAAGACAGAGTTACCCCGAGATTTTCCTTATGAAGAGGACTCAAGACCTCGATCACAGTCTTCCAGAACTGCCAGTCCTCCCCCAGTGTACGAGGAACAAGACAGACCGAGATCTCCAACCCTGCCCAGCACAACTCCTTCCTCGCTAACTTGGAGGGGCACGGTGGCACACAAGAGCCTAAGGAAGTACAGCTTCCAGGAGGGCCAGGGTCTGGGGAAGCACGAGCAGGGGCTGAGCACCACCGTGTCAGTGGAGAAGACCAGCAAGCTGGGTGGCAAGATCATCCTGAGTGACGCCACAGAGAAAGATGCATCCAAAAAGTCAGATTCAAATCCCTGACTGAAATATGTAAGTGTCCTACTAAAGTGCGCCTACTAAGGAACATGGTTGGTGCAGGAAAGGTGGATGAAGACTTGGAAGTTGAAACCAGGGAAGAGTGTGAAAAATATGGCAAAGTCGGGAAAAGTGTGTTGTTTGAAATTCTGGTGCCCTTGATGATGAAGCAGTACGGATATTTTTAGAATACGAGAGAGTTAAATCAGCAATTCAAGCGGTTATTGACTCGAATGGGAGGTATTTGGGTGGATGGGTGGCAAATACATGTTTCTACAGTTTGGAAAAATTCAGGGTCTTGGATTTGGCAGAACAAGTTTGATTTTAAGAACTATTACACAAGTCATCTCCAGTGATCCTTAAATGAACTACAAGCTGAGAAAAGAAGGAAAAAGGTCACAGCTTCCATGGCTGTTGCATACTGAGACTCTTGGAGGGACTTCTAAGATATATGTTGATTGATCCCTTTTTTATTTTGTGGTTTTTTTAATATAGTATAAAAATCCATTTAAAAACCAAACAAAAAGAAAATGTTAGAGACAAGGTTGGAGAGATGGGAGGCAGTATTAAGAGATAAAGAGTAGTGGATTTGGCACATAATCTGGAGGCAGAACTAACAGAGGTTGCTGATGATTGGTGATGGAAAGGTAGAAATTAAGGATGAAACCTAGGTTTTTGCCTTGACCACCAAATAAATGGTAGTCTTATAAACTGAGATGGAGAAAAGTAGGGAAGGAGCAAGTTTATTAGTGGAGAGAAATCAAGTTTTTTTGACGGGGGTGGCTGGAGCAGGTTAAATTGACTGTATCTAGTAGACCACCAAGTGGCTGTATCAAGCAGGTAGAAGATTGTGAATCTAGAACTCAAGGTCAGGGCTGTAGATATAAAATGGAAAAAATCACAGCATATAGATAGAGATTGAAGTCTAGGAACCGAATAAAGTCACCTATAGAGAAAAGATAGAGAAGTGAAGAGGAGAGAGATCAAGTCCTATAGCACTTTTAATAAGATCAGGCAATGTCCTTACCAAAAATATGTCGTCTCTCAGAAGAAGAAATGAGAGACTGGGGGGAAAAAATAAAGAATTAAGTCATGGGACAAATGCTGCTCTGAATACAATAAGAAAAAGACAGGAACTGGCCTCAGGATTTGTCAAAATGAAAATTGTTGAGAACTTAGACATGACCGGATTCAACAGATTGGTGGAGATAAAAACCTAATAGGTTTAAAAAAAAACTGAGGAAGGGAAAAGAGTGGATATAGATTTCACTCTCAAGGAACTTTGCTATAAAGAGGAACAGAAAAAAGGCAGTTGACAGAGAAAATTGAGGACAAGGGGCTAAAAAAAATTGGTTTCAAGTTTGGAGTCATGATAGCATATTTTTTATGTTAATGGGTATAACCATGAAAAAGGATAAAACTGAAGTCACAGGACAGTGAAATCATAATTTCAGTATCTAAATCTTTGCGTTGGCAAGATGGGTTGGAACTTGAAGTGGAGTGATTAGTCCTAGATCGGAGCAGGGATAATTCTATTGTGATCCTAGGGAAGGTGCAGCATATGGGCTCATCAGGCTGTAGACTTGGTATTGGGAAGGTGGAATAAGAAGCCAGGCCATCAGGTTAGAGAATATGAGATAAAAAATGGTTGTCAGGGGAAAGAGAAAGTTAAAATACTAGGAAAATATAGTAAGATTGGGCAGCATTAAATGCCTGCTTGAAATTTATCATCATAAATGTAATGTGAAATCTGTCTCCAGTTATGTGTTTTTCTCTAGTGGCACAAAGTAGCTGGAGAGTTGGGTGTAACTTTTGGGATTTTGACAAGATAATACAACGGAGTAGCAAGGAGCAAAGGAATATGGGTATGATTAAAGTGATAGAGCCTGGAATCTGAGCCAGATAAAGAAGGATGTGAGCGTATTGGGAGTGAGAGTGGTATAGTAAAAAGTGGTAGGGTCGATAAATTGGAGGTCTGAATGAGATATAAAAATTTTAGAGGAAGGGAGCTAGAATAAGTAGACTTTAAAATTAGAAGATGGTAGTTAGCAAATCTGCACTTAAAAATCAGAATTTTAGAATTAATGTAGTTATTGGTGATGACAAGGCCAACCAGTGTTTCGGAAGCTTTTTAAAACGAATGTAGTAAGTAATATAATGTTCAAGAAGACAAGTCAATTTGTACAATATGTACATGATATGTAATTGAAGAAATTATGAAACAATATTTACCTGACTTCATTCAATCAACTCTGATATTTAAAAATCTATTCTATGTTACTTAAAATGAAAAATACTGGTTATAACTCATTAAATTGATTTTTATTATTACTAATGGATCAGACTTTGCATTCTGAAAACAGCTCTAGTGATCATGGGAATGAGTGACTGGTGTGGGGTGGAAGAAAGGATTGTTGGTATTATAGAATTCAGACACCTGAGAGTCCACAGTGTCAGATGGATTATCTACCTAGATGTAGAAGCCATCAGGGATGATGACAGGAGTAATGGCATGGAGGAAGACAATGAAAGTGGTGGTGTAGTCTGGTAGTGGTCTGTGCTTCTAAGAGACTGGAGATTTTAAAGAGCTAGAGAAGACACATTACCTCCAGGTCCTAGAATGTGGGTGGGAAATAAAAAGCAACTTTCATTTTGAAGTACTCAGGAAAAGATGCAGACTTAGAGTCCTGTCTTCACTGTGAGCAAAAAGGTGAAGAAAAAGTCAACAGAAAGAATTGTGGACTTGGGGAGATTTTGTTACTGAGAGATTCTGATTTCCATAGGGTCCAGGGAAAGGCTTTGGGAGGTCAGAGATGGGTTGGAGATGGGTTTAATGAAAACGACTTGGGAGACTTGGACTGAAATTAAATGTGGGCCTGGTCAGTTTTGATGGTAACACAAGGAAAAGTGGGTAGTGGCCCATATTAGCCTTGTTCACAGGCTTGGTTTCTTAGCTAGTTTGTAGAGGTAAGATGGTGGTGTGTGGGTTAAGGAAGAGCAGCCTCCCTGGGAGCAAGGTAGTTGCAGCAACTGCCCTTCAACTCTGAGTAGCCGACATGGCACTAGGAGAGAGGATTGGGACTGTGAGGGAAGGCCGCTGAGCCCCATGAACTCACCATGCAACAGGACCTTTGCACATATCTCATCCTGTTCCTGGTAACTAACTAGCTGTTTATCTTCTCTTTGATTTCTGTACAAGTCTCATAGCTTTAGGAAAACCTTCCCTGACTCCACTGGCCTCCCTTATCCAGTTCTTATGGCGCTTTGCACCTCATCTTTATCTCATATGTCACAGCTGCAGTTTTATATCTATCTGTGGGATTGTTTTATTAAGTTTGACTCCTTTGCTAGACTAGGCTCTGTGCAAAAGGGACTATACCTGTTTTTGTTCACTATTGTATCTCAAGCACAGTATATAATGTGTAATAGGTATGCACAAAGATAAATTTAATGAATTAATGAAATCAGAGTTAGCAGACATTAAAGACAAAAAAACGGCAAAGGAAACTAAAGAGAACCAACAGGAGGTACTATTGAAGTTGAAGTTGCAAGGAACATTTCTTGTTGCAACTAGTAAGGTCTACAGCTCAGTCCTCATGGACATGACCCAACTGATCTTGAAAGGACAATGCTACAAACCTACTGTCTGAAAGCAAAGAACTATTTAAAGACTATATTAATAGCAACAGTAATCACCACAGGGATATGAGATGGAAATTTAGGGGAACAACAAGTCTAAGGCAGCTTCAAAGGCAACTCCTTCAAGAATCTTGTCCTAACTAAGGAAAGAATTGTTATACTTCAAGGACTGAGGGAGTAGGATAGATCCAGGAGACAAGAGGTGCATTTGGGTTGGGTATGGAGTAGGAGGAGAAGGGGATAGGAGTGGCATTACAGCATTTTCAAAGCAGGGAAACAACTGGCTATATACGGAGTCAATTCAGGAACTAGGGCATTTTGAGGAGTGCAGCGTGCCAAAGACAGTTCACTGAGAAAGGGCTGAGTTAGTCAAAGTTGGAGCAAACAACTGGACTGGCTGAGATGTGAAGCTCTCTCCCTACTGAGTAGGACTTAGAGCCTAGAGGTTGGAATGCCAATGGTTTTATGGTTACTGTGCCCCTTATGCTAACAAGTGTCACCCAAGATAAGTAAGACAATGATACAGAGTTAGCTAATCTTGGACAAAAGTTCTAACAAAGTTGGAGAATCACCACTAGGAAGATTTCGTTCTGTTTCCATTTTAATTCTGCACCAGTCAGGGATATCATTACATTCCTTTCTCATCCACCACCTCTGTGCGTTTACAGTGCATCCTCTTCCTTTGTCTTGTTAAGACCTGCATTTCAGAAGCAATTTTTCCCCCTTGCCAGATCATCATTCAGTAGCAGAATAGGACACCCCTGAGCAATCTCTGAGTTTCATCTTTCCGTCACAAAGGAATTCAGTGACTCACCCCTTGCAACTACACTAACTCTTACAGGCCAAGAGGGCACTGGTCAGCGTTTTGGAGGAAGTAATTTACTAAATGGTGCCCTTGTGGCCAGAAAGACTCAACACACATAAAAGGAGAAACCACAGACTCCACTTCTTCTGCTCAGAGTGTTGGAAATAATTAGGATTAATTATGTGTTTTTGTGTGGAAGTGATGATATGAATTTCAATGGCATACAGGAAAAAGAGATAAGCCTATTTTTTAAAGAAAATAGTTCCGGTTTAGGTCCATTATAGCTGCACAATGTCATTATGAGATATGAGAAAGAGATAACTAAATTATTCATATTATAATTTTATTTGTGCTCTATTCCTTATTTTTCCTGGAAAATGTCCCTATTTGTTATTAAAACTAGCATGTTTTATAAAGAGATTTATGTTAATTACACAGAAAGCTGCCTTAGTCAGAAGAGCAAATTCTATAGTGAATTTCAGAGTTTTTAAAATGTGTGATCTCTATGCTGTAGAATATTTCTTGCTAATGGTTCATGCCATCTATATATCTAGTGATCTTTGAACCTTATGTTCATTATTATGGTTATAGCTGTACCCAAATGGCAGCATATTATTAAAATATGAGATAATGATTGAATAAACTAGATATAATTATGCTTGTAAAGGAAAACAGACCATCTAGGAGTAAGTTTTTAGAAGGCAAAATAATACCTTTAAAATGTTATACTCAAAATAAACATATTACGACAGATGAGAAATCCCAGATTTTCAGGCAAAGGGCGAGAAACTGAACTAAGTTTCAAAAGCCATCTCAAAGAAGTTGCTCACTTTAAAAAAAAAAAGGACATTTTTCTAAAAAGTAGCAAGTTTCCCAGCATTTCTTTTCTTAAAATATGCATTTTCTGTTATTCAAATGAATAAATATAAAATTATTTTCATTTTGGCACTTTCTAAAGTCCTGATCCTACCAATAGGTAAAATCATCACTAACTTTGCAGTATTGACTTTTAGCTCTGTAGGCCTACTTCCGTGTCATGAAGGCTAGCAGCTTGAAAAAAATAATGAAGACTTATTCTAGTCACCAGTTGAACAAATTCTGTTACCGTATTAGTCCTGAACATTTAGCAGGGGAAATAATATCAAATATTCTCATATCAAGGTACAGAAATATCAGTCTCATGGCAGACCCAGACTTGGAGGGCTAATGTTAAGCTAGATATCTTGCAGACTAACCAAGAGTAGATCACTGATCTATTGAACCTCTCTTTAGAAGGAAGATATATTTATTATTGGTTAGGACCAGGTAGACAATTTACATTTGTGGTATGTGGTTAATGTAATAATAACTTAATAACACTATCAGGTGTCTGGAGCGTGTTTGCTTTGAGTACAACTAAAAAGAGTACATTTTTAGCATGGTAATTTTTTTCCTAAATTCTTTTCATCAAAAAAATTATTTATGAGAACGCTTTTAGAGATTACATGAGCATTTAGATATTTGTATTGATAATGTTTTTACGCTACTTCTCCTTTTCGGGCTCAGTTTTGAAAGCTCTCCTGAGAAAGGAGGAAAAAGCATTTATATGAGGAAGCGAGAAGACTGAAAATGAATTAAGTGTTAGAGGAGTGGAGTGGCAGTGACTAAGGTCAGAAAAAAGCTAAGTGAGCAAAGAGAACTGAACAAAATAGCAAAAGGAGAGAGCAGTGGTGTATGAAATAGGAAACAAAGAAGTGAGGACTATCTCAGAAGAAAAGAAAAATAAGACCCAGAAAAAACATGTATATATCTCAAGGTATACTACCTCACAGTATAATTTCCATTAATCTCTATCCACATACCCTTCTACATATCTGTTTAGTCATTCATAGGCAGACAAGGCTGAACTACCACCTTAAGCCTAAAATATCACATCATCTTTTGTAGCTGAGATGCTGGAAATAAATTCTGGAAAATTGGGAGGAGGTGAGAACATTAAGAGTTTATAAGAAAATTTAAGCCATTTTTCTTCTAACTTAATTTTTGTCTTCATAAGAATATCTTATCCAAATGAGCATAAAATATGAAAAAAAAGCCAAAAAGTAACAAATAACAGGACTCCATAAAGACAAGAGTGTGATGCTATGGAGTTTTGTCATAACATAAAAATCTGTAGAAGGTGAGGATGTTTGTAACTTTTGGTTTATGTGACGCTTTTTTTTGTCAGCATGTATAATCCCAAGTAATTTATTATAATAGATATTTAGAAGGTAACATAAATAATTTAACCTGTCCCATTCTCACGTAGTTTCTAAGGATTCCCAACACAAGTCAAATGTGTCTAAAAGAAACAATATCCACGGTGTAAGTTACTTACACACAGTAAGGGAAATTGCTTACCTAGGCTCCAAAACCATTAGCCATCCCTTGTTGTAATTTACCTGGATTGCTAACCAATGTTTAATGTATTTTTCCTACTTATTGTTGATTTTCAGCTTGTAGGCATGTAGATTTTTATTTTAAATCACTATCAAATTGTGAAACTTAACAAAAAATGGCAGTGTGTGATTTTTCTGTAATGCTCCTGCATTCACTTCTTTGAGTGTTAGTTTAATTTTTGGCTAATGGTTTTGGAGCCTAGGTAACGAACTTCCCTTATTGTCTGTAAGTTACATGGTGGATATTGTTTCTTTTAGACGTATTTTACTTGTGTTGGAAGTTGTTAATATTAACTACATGAGAATGTGATAGTTTTAATTATTTATTTTTGCCGTCTAAAATATATTATAATTAGTTACTTGGGATTATATGTGCTGACAAAAAAAAAGTATCACACAAACCAAAAGTGATAAAATCCTAACCTTCTAGCAACAAACAACTAAGACATGCATGCACAAAGGGCGGATGCTTTAAGTGGCAGAGGGAGGGACGGAAGTGGGTAATTATTTGTAGCAATGCTTTTACTGTTGTTTGAAATGAGACAGACTAACAGTGGCAGCAGTCATTTTGCTGAATCAAAGTCCATGTTAGTCGCATTATACACTGCCACAAAAGGTTGTTAAGGCTGGTATTAGCATGTACCACTGAGGACATTGGAAGGACTCGATCTGTCACACTAAATCGCCTTCTTGCCCTCAACCATTGAAGTCTCCAGCTCCTCTGACATGTTCTTTCATTAATGGCCTGGCCTTGACAACTGATCCTAATTGCCTCTGAACCGCACTTCATGTATTATTGGTGTCTGCCTGCCCTGGTTCATGTCAACAAGCCACAACATGTGCAGGGTGTGCCCAGTGCCTTTGCAGAAATGATGTTCACATCGTCATATTCCTCTGAGGGGATTGGGTCTCACTGGGAGTAAAGTAGAAAGCTAAAGATCTTCCTGTCTCTTCTTTGTAATATCTTAATGTTGATTTGTGCTGTGTACATATTAAGCTCATCTAAGGACTCACTAAAACATTAAACCAATTATGCAACATTCCATTAAGGCACAGATGCTGACTTAAATTTGCCCTTGTTTTAGTAAGTGGCAAAATGTGTGTTCATTGCAAAACCTTTTCAACTTTAGTTAGTATGGCTTACATTCCTTTTTCAACTTTAGTGTGGTTTACTTTTACTTTTATTATGCATAACAATTTCAATTTGATGTATGATAATGGCCAAAAGAGCCTACAATATAGTTTCCAGGTAGACGTACGCATTAGACCAGAACTCCCAAAAGTAAATTATTGAAGGTTTGAATAGGATATTTTAGTCTTAACATCTATTAGCAGATTTATATTTACTACATTTTCTAAAAGTAGCTAAAATAATCAATTTTAGTGCATTACATGTATTTAAAACCTTAATTTTGTTCTGACATTTCAGGAAACATTCATAAAGGACAAAACAGTTTAGATGCATTTTAATTTATAAGATGAGTTATTTGCTTACAACAAAATACTTTAGAATCTAAAATATAACATTAGAAACGCTCAAGATATTTACCTCTTTTTCTGAAAATGTCTCTGAGATTTAAAATTTGCCTCATTCCTATGACAGTTTTTTACAATCACATCTCTGAACAATAATACGAGATTCTTTCAATCTTTTCATCCTTTTTTATTTATTGAAGGCAGTTTTCTGGTGAGCCTTTTAAGCATGCAAGTTCTACCCGTGATCATAAAAAATAAATCACAGAAGCTCTTCGGTGCTAGGTATCATTTAGCCTAATCTAGACAGTGACATTTGGGCCACTAACAGCATAATCATAGTTATTGCTACAAATTGCTCCATGTTTGAGTTTTAATGTTATAAGTAAATTATGCCAGCGGATAAAATATATGTTTCTTTGGGAATTAAACATGTTTATTTCAGCAATGTGGCCATGGAATAGCACGGAAACCTTAAGCTTGTTTCATGTAGTAATACTGCCACCTTCTGAAGCCCAGAGGAATTGTCCTCAAGGGTAGCTGTTTTAAGAGACTTCTCAGGTGGCCATTTGTAGTGATCCAGCAGCCAGAAACTTCCAAGTCTAGAAACCATCTGACTTTTATCATGGGAATGATAAGTTTGATTTTAACTCTTCATTTAAAATAAGTAGAAATGAATGCAGGTATCCAACAGTCAGTAAAAATTCTATTTCCTCTTTTCATTTTACCCCCAAAAGCCTTTTATTTTCTGGACTTTAGAACTGTCTTTTTTTGGTGGTGTGTAGTTTCCTGCTAAAAAGCTCAGCTGATATAAAGCTAATTCTGGTATGGAAGTTACACAGCAAGAGCGGTTGCCTGGCAGAAGTGGGACAGTGGTGGCCACAGCTGGGATTGTAAGAAGGAGATGGCAAATGTTTTTCTATCATTCAATCAGACAGTATGCCCTTCAGCAGAACAACAAGCCCTCCTGATTCTTTAGAATTAGTGAGATTAGCATGAACCACATAATGCAGGGTGATGGGATTTGTCATAATTTGCATTGTCCTGGAAAAATGCGGGTTGATAGAGCGATGCATCTTGGAGCATGTCATGTCCCACGGGCAGGTCACAGAGGAAGCTTGGCAGAAATAATTTTGTGATATGTGCATCAGTTGCAAATGCTTCATAAGTAATTTGTCAGAATAAAATAAATAGAAAGTGGTTAGGAAGGTAGAGAAAGTAGGGTCATTGTAAAAGTATCTCCAAAAAAATTAGATATGTCATCCTCAAATATCACATTGTTAGTGATTAAATGAAAATATAATGAATGACTAGGCTTCCTCTCCTTTTGGTTTTAAATTTCCAAAACCTTACTGTTAAGTCTTTCCTTTTTTCTAAAAGTAAAATCTTTCCTAAAAGTAAAATCTTACTGGTAAGTCTTTCCTTTTTCCTGAAGGTAAAATCTTGGAAAATGCATGTGTGTTTCTGCAAAGTTTGTTTATGAAAGCCCGTTATAGAAATCGTCAAATACAGCTACATTAGAGAAGGCTTTCTGAGAGTTTGCGTCGGACCTTGATAATGTTCCCAAACTACAGATAGGAAAGGATAATCAGTATGTAGTTGACAAAACGAACATGACACTGTTACTTATCTACAGCAGCATTTCTGGAAATGGGCATATAGAATTCAGACAGGCAAGGGGAGCGTGCTTATTTAGCATAGCATTGCAAGAATGAAAGGTCCGGTGTCAGGTGTTGTCCATGGTTTATTTATGTAGTACCTGACAGAGATGCCACTGTCTTTAATATTTAGAAATTTCTTCTATCCAAGAACATTATAGCTAGTGTTTGCAGATTATGTTATTTATCATTTCAGTATCTGCTTCTACTGCACAAAGACATTTTGCAATGTCTCCTTTATTTGTCTTTATACATTTCAAACAAAAGATTAATGCTGGCAGTTCGGTAACACTGATCTTTTATGACAGTTGAACATTTGTGGGTTGAGGGTCTAATAAGAAAAAAAATTTAAGTGAGGAGTTTAAGGAAAATGAAAAAAATAATCACTTGTGAAAATCAGGCTTATAATAAAAATGTATCTTCTTACTACACTGTTCGTAGGAAGAATACTCATTTTCTCAGATGGTTATAATTGTAGAATTAGGTTTTATGAAAACTAAAATTACCCTAGGGCACAGCTCAACATGAATAAATCTTTCAACACCCAGATCTGGAAACATGATACACACGAAACTAATAATGCCCTATAATTACAAGTAGATCAAGAAGAACTGTGCGAAGTTTTTAAAAAACATTATTTATTGAGTTCTGTAAGATGAAAGTGACTCCAAATAATGTTAGTTCAGACTATTTTAAATCATTTGTTGTTTGTAAAATAATAGCCCTCTATGTAAACCTCATATGTTTTTAAACTCGCCCTCCTGTCTGTAATCTTCAAAACTGACTGCTTTCAAACAAACAGTTTTACTAATCAGAGATAATAAGTGCTTTGTGGTGCCAATTGTTAAAAACTAGATTTTTTGTGGACATTATTTTTCTAATATATCATCTCTGGACTCATAAGGTGATTTTTAAAAAATAAACCCTGTTTACTGAGTTGTAACATTTCAGCCCAATTTCAGCATTGTGGATATTCTGTACAATATTTATTTCACTGAGAGTTGGTACTGTAGACTTCAATCTTGGGTCACATTTTAACAACTTTTTTCTATTGTCTTCTTTTTGCTGTATACTACTGCGTCAAAAAAAAAAAAGACACCTGTTGCTTCTCCCGTGAAATTCCTTTCCTCAGAGGAAATGTGCTTGCAGTGACAGATAATTTGCCTTGGTTAGAAGTTTTCTAGCATTTTCCCCTAAATAGCAAAGCCATAATACTCTCAGATAATCTTCAAGGGAGAACAAAAATACCTCTTCATTCTCTTAGCAGAAAATTATGATAAATAATTTTAAAAATAAAAACTTTTTCAAATAAGTGTACATCTCGCCAGTCCTCTCCCCAAAATTTTAATAAACTAAGGATTTAAATTCCACCTTTTCAGACAAAGTTTTCTAAATTCAATCAACAGGATAATGTACTGGATAGATCAATTTTTATATTGTCTTTAGACTTTACAATTGTTTTACTCTAGATAATGACCACTAACCTAGCAATGCTAGTTTAACTCTCAATGTCTTACGAACTATTTATTGAGTCATTTGTTCATCTAGTCAGTATATGCGCCTACTGCTTATGGTGCCTATTCTGTGTCCTTTGAAGGATGCTGTGCAAGAGTTTTTTTCCCATAGGGATGGAGAGTGAAGTGAGTAGAGAAGGCCCGATCAACAATTTAATCAAGAGGTATTCATTGGGCAAAGCACCTCATCCAGAGTTAATGGCATTGCCACTCTGCGAATGAGTCTCAGAAAATGAAGAGGTAGCTAAAGGAATTAGCTTATTAATGTGCTATCATGACATCTGGACTGGATCCAGTTCTTGGTGTTTGTCTGGAAAATTCATTGCTGCTACAGTATTGTAATACCTGGCAATTCTCATATTAATGGAAGGGTAACTAGTTTGTTTATTTTAGTCTACCTAGTCTGTGATGAAACTCAAATATTTATTTGACAATAAAGTGATGTTTTTTACCCAGGACAGGTGAATTCATGAAACAAACTATATTTGTCTTCCATTCTGCTTTCACTAGCTTGTCTTTAATAAATTCATTGCCTCACAGATTATTAATACCATTTGAATGATTTTTCTATTTTGCCCCAGCTTCAATAGCTGCCTGTATGAACTCTTATTATCATTTCAGAGTTATTTCTTTAGGGTTCTTTATAGTGAACAAATAGTCTCAGGTAAAAAAAAAAAAAAAAAAAAACTCAAAATGACAATTGAGTCAGTCCAGAATGTCATCAGGAAGAATGTGTCAGAGAAATCTAGTCTAGATATTTCTGGACATACAGGTAACTTCCTCAAGTAAACAAGAATGTTAGCTAAACAAATTTCTACTTAGCTTGATACTATTTGTTTCTAAATATAAAAGAAATAGATTAAGTAATTACTTAATTTTCATTGAAAATTTTAATTTGAAAAGGACTTCTTTAAAGAAAAATGGTATATTATTCCATTTTCACACTGCTCGTAAAGACATACCCAAGACTGAGGAATTTACAAAAGAAAGAAACTGTCATTTACTTACAGTTACACATGGCTGGGGAGACCCCACAATCATGGCAGAAGGCAAGGACGAGCAAGTCACATCTTATGTGGATGGCGGCAGGCAAAGAGAGAGAGCTTGTGCAAAGGAACTCCTCTTTATAAAACCATCAGATCTAGTGAGACTTATTCACTATCATGGCAACAGCACAAGAAAGACCAGTCCCCATGATTCCATTACCTCCCACTAGGTCCCTCCCATGACACATGGGAATTATGGGAGCAACAATTCAAGGTGAGATTTGGGTGGGGACACAGCCAAACATATCAAATGGCTATAGAAGTTCTTTGAAAAGTTATTGGTACTGGAAAACAGGAAGATACCAAGGCTAGGAATAAAACATACTTATTTTAGATGCAGTTTTTTTTTTCTCCTGACCAGGGAGATATCTCTAATGCTTCTCAATGTATATGGTGTGAGCCAGGCATGGTGGCTCACACCTGTAATCCTCACAGTTTGGGGGACGAAAGTGGATCACTGGAGCCCAGGAGTTGGAGACCACCGTGAGTAACATAGCAAGACCTCATCTCTACAAAAAAATGAAAAAATTAGCTGCGCATGTGTGCACCTATAGTCGTAGCTACTTGGAAGGCTGAGGCAGGAAGATTGCTTGAGCCCAGGAGTTCAAGGCTGCAGTGGGCTGTAATTGCACCACTGCATTCCAGCCTGGAGGACCGAATGAGGCCTTGTCTCTTAAAAAAAAAAGAAGAAAGAAGAAAGAAAAAAAGAAAAGTACATACATTTTAGAGACTTCACTCATGAATTTTCCTTTTATATCTGTCATAGGTTTGCTTTTTTTAATACAAAAGTCATCATACTTGTTTCTGGCTCAAACTTGCCATGCAACACCTGAAGTCCTTTTACTAGGTCAGTAGGGAAAGGAGGTATTTCTTCTTTCATTCGTTTTTCCAAGCTCACCACTGCCCCACAATATAGATCTATTGGCTGTTACAAAATAATTTTTATTATATGTATAGTTTATATTGTAAAATATTTCTGAAGTTATAAAGTAAATAAATAAAACAGTAAGTGCTCTCACTTTTTTCTTTTCATTAATATTTAAATCACCATTTTTATTGTCCAGAAAATTTTTGCAATCTATTAGTCCATGATGTAGACATGTCTCCATGGAGTATTTCAGGATAAAAATTTAGCCAAATAACACATTTTACCTTAGGGGGAAAAAAAGCAGCACTTAATTTCCTCTGCACACATGTTAAGTTTATTCCTCGTGGATGATTTAGAAGGGTTTCTTCTTGTATATATTATATGGAAAAGACATTATTTGTAAATATGTGATAAGATTATATTGTAATACTGTACACTTATTAGATTGGGATGTCATCAAGCTCTCAAAGTTTCTAAAAGTGCATGGCAGCTGATGAGTGAGGATAGATGACAAAAGAGAAAAGTCAATAGTTTGACTGTGGGAGATGATCAGATCACACTTGAAATGGAAAGCTTCCCTGTTACTAGAACAGAACTGTGTCCTGAAAAGAAATAGTGTTCTTCTGTCCTGTCGGCCCCTCTGAACTGAATTAAAAGTAATGGATTTTAAAATTTATGCTTAATGAAAGAATAAAACATCTGAAATTACTACAGCAAAGATAAAGATAAAGACAGCCAGAAGAATCACTAGGTAATTTTTGGAGAACCATTTCCCCCCACCATCAATTTACATTGCTATGGCTTTTATCTTATATACTGGATGTCAAAAGTCATTTTCCAGGGCATTCAGAAGTTGTTTAAGACTGTGTGTGTGTGTGTGTGTGTGTGTGTGTGTGTGTGTGTGTGTGTACTATCTGTGCCCAGTGAAAACAGTAAACCATCTTTCTTGCTAGAAATGGTGGCCATTGTTTTTACTTTAGGTTGAACATATTTTGGTATTGGTGATAGGATTCTAGAGGACTCTTCCCTGGGTTTGGTGGGGTGGGAAGAACCATATAAGAAGTTATTCAGGGGCCGGGCGTAATGGCTCATACCTGTGGTCCCAGCACTTTGGGAGGCTGAGGCAGCGGATCACAAGGATGGGAGTTCAAGACCAGCCTGGCCATTATGGTGAAACCCCGTCTCTGCTAAAAATACAAAAAAATTAGCCAGGCGTGGAGGCGGGCATCTGTGGTCCCAGCTGCTCAGGAGCCTGAGGCAGGAGAATTGCTTGAACCTGAGAGGCAGAGGTTGCAGTGAGCCGAGATTGCACCATTGCACTCCAGCCTGGGCAACACAGTGAGACTCCGACTCAAAAAAAAAGAAGAAGAAGAAGTTGTTATTCAGGAGCACCAAGAGAAGTGGGGAGAGCTGGTAACAAAAGACACATAAAGCTTGCTTCTGACCAGGAAAGGGAGGTAATGTGATAGAATCAAGGGCCAGAAAAAGATGGTATTTCCCTCCAAGGCCATATGACTACCGTGAGAGAAAACCCAGAATAGAAATGAGAGAAATAAGTGAAGAAACGTGATTCCACTAAATAGTGGGACTGTTCTTAATCACAGGTTTTTGTAGACTTAACTAAAGAAATTGATCAGGGACCAGGTTCAAATCCACAGAAACTCAGTATGTAACTCATGCTATGCTAAGCAGCTTATTATTTAATCCTTACAGCTGTGCTTTTAAATGAATATTATTATTCCATTTTCAAGTATGGAAACTGAACTTCAGAGGGGTTGTGTAACTTGTCCAGAATTACATAGCTAGTAACTGGTGGAGTAAGGCTGTTAACCTCAACTGTATTTGACTTCAAACCTATGTTTTTATCATACAGTATTATTCAAATTTGGGAAAGAAGGGACCCAATACGTAAAGACTGAGCTGCTTTTTTTTTTTTTTTTTTTTTTTTTTTTGCTTTTAAGAAAATGTTTGTGGTTTTATTGTATCATGAGGCATTGAAACATCTGAACAAATCAGTGTCTGGGTGGTGAGGCAGCTGCTTTCTCCTTCCCTTCTGCCTTACTTAAGCCTTTCAAGGCATGAATGGTATAACCCAAACTTCTTCCTTCAGATGCAACTAGTCTAACATCCAAACATCATGCACAACACCTGGGTGGCAGCACTGCACTAGGCCCACTGCCACCATGGACCCGCTCCTTTGGCATGAGATGTGGAGCATCTGGAGTGTGAATGGTACTGGAAAGAGGAGGGAGGAGGAAACAGCATGACTGCCTGGCTGGGAAGAGATCAGCCTGGGATGTGCAGGCCAAGCCTGAACGTGTCATTGGCGCAAACCCAAGTATTGTTGATGTTCTTCAACAGGAACATCTATCTGATGGAACCCCATGATGGAGTCTTCATCCACCGTAAGCTGGCCCACAACCATGCTGATGATGCAGCTGGCGTGGGCTGATGGTCCTGTGCTGTGATGCTGTGCTGGATTTTTTGGAAGGGATGACTAGACAACTTCTCCACAGTGGCAGCTTTCCCCTGGAATTGCCATCCTTCCCACATGAGGCATGGCACATCAATGTAAATTGCACCTAGTTGGGTTTTCTCATTATGAAATAACTGGTAGTAATGCTGAATGAAGCTGGATCAAATCTGCTCCCAGATTGGCTCATCTCCCATTCTGGAGCATCACCCAGCCTCTTTGAGACCTGAAGGGTTGGCACAGTGGCAGCGGCAGCGTGACAACCCGGCACAGTCTGCCAAGACTGAGCTTCTTCAAAAACTATTTGTGAAAACTGCTGGGTGTGGTGGCTCACACCTATAATCCCAGTGCTTTGAGAGGCCGAGGTGGGAGGATCACTTGAGGCCAGGAGTTCAAGACCAGCCTGAGCAGCATAGTGAGACCTTGTCTCTACAGAAAAGTAAAAATTTAAAAAATTAGCCAGGTGTGGCAGCACACACCTGTAGTCCCACCTGCTTGGGAGGCTGAGGCAGGAGGATTGCTCGGGCCCAGGAGTTCCAGGATGCAGTGAGCTATGATCACACGGCTGCACTTCAGCCTGGGTGACAGAGCAAAACCCAGGATCATTTGAAAACAAAAAGAAAAACTATTTGCAGAAGCTGAATCATGTAGGAGGAGTCACAAAAACAAATAATGAACTAGAAAATTAGTTTTGTATAAAAAAAGAATGGAAGAGTTGGGGATACGCTTGGATAAGCAATAGCTAATAAAATGAGTTGAATAATATTATATTCTTGAATACTATGTTGTCTAAATTCTATGAAGCATCTTGGTGACAATAATGCTGTAGTTGTTCTATTACTAACTGAAGGCAATGTACAAGGAAGTAGATTTAAGTGAAAATAAGCAAACAAACAAAAAAATCAAACAATTTGTTGCATGGGAGAATGTCTTGACCAGGGGACAATGAAAGGCTACTGTAGGCTACCTGAGGTATCTACGGTAGATATCTCTATTAGATGTGTCACTCCAAACATATTCTTCCTTAAGCTGTATTGACCCTCAGAGATTCATTGCCTGACTCATACATGATAGTCAATAAACATTTTAGGAATGAATGTATGACTGGAGCCTTTTTCTCCCCAGCCTGGGAATCCATGAATATCTTGGTGAAAGAGATGATACCTGAAGAGTAGACCAATGTTTTGGATAGAATAACAGATTTTAAGAAGTCATGACTTTGTTAAAAGCTATAAAAAAGAAAATGAGTTGTCTAGCTTCCAGCCTCCCGCTTAGGTCAAAAGTCATGTCTCCTTTTGGT